CGAGTCTCCTGCCTCCGCCTCCCAAGTAGCTGGGACCACAGGCGCCCGCCACAACGCCCGACCATTTTTTGATTGCATTGTTGTTTGGCGGGCCCGGGCCTGGGATTCGAACTCGCCACCTTAGGTGTACGTGGCTGGCACCTTAGCCGCTTGAGCCACAGGCACTGAGCCTTAAGACTGTTTTCAAAACAAGCATAACATTTCCTTCCTTTTGTTCTTTTTGCTTTTTCAGAAAATTTTGTTCTTCCCATAAACCTGATTTGAGTACTAACACCTTTCAGATAATCACTATAAATTTCCAAATTTAATGAAACTGACAAAGTAGCTTATTTTAAAGAGTTTTCCCAAAAGTGAAATTGCAGGTTCTGGGTGGTCAGTTTTGTTTTACTGGGCCTTTGTTCTGTCTTCTAGTATGTACAGAGGAGATGTTTCTTCAGGTGATGGAGGAGCTATGGTAATGTACTGCCAAAAAGGAGGTTTGCACTTTCCCTCTCTAATTGTGTCACTGAAATCTGCAAAGGAAAATGTATATCAGTAAATTTCACTTAAGAATAAGCAAGTACAGTCAACCTTCTGTATCTGGGGTTCTGCACCAACCTCACATGAAAAACATTTGAAAAAAAATTGCACTGGTACTTAACTCGTACAGATATTTTTTTTCCTGTTGTTAGTCCCTTGGCAGTACATTGTAACAACTATTCATATAGCATTTACATTGTATTAGATGTAAGTAATCTAGAGATAATTTTATGCCAAGGACTGTTCATAGGTTAGATGCAAATACTGCACCATTTTATATCAGAGACTTGAGCATCTTTGGGCTTTGGTGTCCCCAAGGAGGTCCTGGGACCAATCCTCCATGGGACAGAAGGATAGCTGTGTTGGCTTTGGCAGTCAGAACTCTCGGAATTCACTGTGTATTTGTTGTCTTAATCTCTGTATTAATTAAACAGTGTTCTAGGATGTTTTTTTCCCACAGTTTCGCTTTTACTCTTCAATAAAAGACTTTTAACTTCTCTGCCCCATATCTAGTCCTAACTTTAAAGGTTTTTTTATAATGTGTAATTTTTTAAAAAACTATCATGTGATTTTTATGTGTAACTCCCTAGATAAGAAATTCAAAGAACCTTGTTCCTTTTTGAATCTTTAAGATATTACCTGCCAGTAAGATCACCATTACAAGGCACTGGTTGTATAAACTATAAACTACTTGTAAAATAATCATTTTGTTTTATTTCTTTCTTAAGTATAATTATGTAATAGAATGGTTTTCATCATGATTATTATAAATCAGCTTTTAAAATGTATGCTAGTGTTTTGAATTTTAATATTGATTGTAAATTCTGTAACATGTAGATTAGCAATTTACAAAAATGTCAATTTTACGTAGATCATTTTTCAGATTCTTTAGTACTCATGTCATATTATGGTTAACTATAATTGCAACGAATGTACCAAACTACAGATTTAAATGTTTTTGTATTAAAAACTATTTGATAATAAAATTAGTAAATTTTATCTTGTGGTGATTTAATTTCATGTAGAGTATACATGTCTTCTTGGAGAATAAAGAATATATGCAGACTCAGCATGATGGCTCACGTCTGTAATCCCAGCACTCTGGGAGGCAGAGCCAGGTGGATTGCTTGAGCTCAGGAGTTGGAGACCAGTCTGAGCAAGAGTGAGACCCCCATCTCTACTACAAATAGAAAAAGTTAGCCATACATCGTGGTGGTTGCCTATAGTCCCAACTAATTGGGAGGTTGAAACAGGAAGATTGTTTGCGCCCAGGATTTTGAGGTTGCTGTAAGCTGGGCTCATGCCATGGCACTCTACCCAGGGTAACAGAGCAAGAATCTATCTCAAAAAAAGAGAAAGAAAATATGTAGTTCTCCAGCATTTTTCTTTTGCAGTATATTACAATTAACATGTAAACTAAAATCTAGTTTTACATGATTTCATCTTTTAAACACATTATTAACTCATGTTTTCGTGCCCAAAGTTAACTCATGTTTGCACTTAGCTATTGGAATTTTTAAAACACAGGGTAATATAGGATTATTTTAAGAGCTTTCTCGATTGTGTTCAGTTATGTTCACCTTATTATAAAAAAATTAGTTTTCTAGATAAGCAGGTTTTTAATCATGATTCTAGTATAACAAAAATTTCAACCATGACATACTGTGATGGTGAAGAAGTTTTCTTTTTTTTTTTTTTTTTTGAGACAGAGCCTCAAGCTATCCCCCTGTGTAGAGTGCCATGGCATCACAGCTCATAGCAACCTCCAACTTCTGGGCTCAAGTGAGTCTCCTCCCTCAGCCTCCCAAGTAGCTGGGACCACAGGCGCCCGCCACAACGCCCGGCCATTTTTAGGTTGCACATGATTGTTGTTTGGCGGGCCGGGCTGGGGATTCGAACCCGCCACCTTAGGTGTACGTGGCTAGCGCCTTAGCCGCTTGAGCCACAGGCTCCAAGCTGGTGAAGAAGTTTTCAATGAATTGTATGCAGATGTTTTAACTGATTGAGTGATTTTGAAATTTTTTTGAGTAATCTGGAAACTGATAGTTTATGAGAAGAAAGTTATGAATTTGATATTAGACCACCAAAATGACAAAAAAGAAATGTAATATAATCTGGTAGTAAAAATGATTTTGAAGAGCAGTGAATTGAAAATATTACATCAACTTTGGAGGATTATACAGATATGGGGAAATAACTGTTGAACTTAGTCTACAGAGTATCAGTGAGATGACAGATTTACTTTTTGATGATGATTTTTTTTTTTTTTGAGACAGAGTCTCACTGTGTTGCCCTCAGTAGAGTGCTGTGGCATCAAAGCTCACAGCAACCTCCAACTCTTGGGCTTAAGCAGTTCTCTTTCCTCAGCCTCTCAAGTAGCTAGGACTATAGATGCCTGCCACAGTGCCTGACTATTTTTTGGTTGTAGTTGTCATTGTTTGGCGGGCAGAGTTTGAACTGCCAGCTCCTATATATGTGGCTGGTGCCCTAACTCCTGAGCTACAGGTGCCAAGCCAGATAATGATTTTTTTTTTTAATTTAATTGTTTCTCAAACCTATTTAGACCATTGCCAAATAGAACAATTTTATGAAAACTGTTAAATCTTTACCAGGGATGGAAGTTACTATTAGTGATACAAAGAAGTTTCTTAGTTTATTGATATTGATGACATAAACAACAAAAAAAAATTCATGTTGGAGAGATTTCTGGTCAACAGACCCTTTGCTTGAAACACCAGTATTTCTTAAAACTATGACTGGAATCAGATTTGAGCAAATCCTTAGCTTTTTCATCTTAGTGAAAATTCATAAGCTACATCTAAGAAAGACTTTATAAAGTTAGGAGTTATCTGTAGAATTTCATTTCAATTCATGTGTATAAATAAAGCATATTGAAGTTTATGTAGATTATTTCATTTTCATATTGATGTAGGAATAATAGCCTGTGATGTGGGATAGCTTCTACATAAAATTGCTGGTCAACAATTAAAAAAGAGACTTTTTGGCTGGTTTAATTGTGATGTTTAATGTAGTAGCAGTAGTAGTCTTGTAACATGTTATCTGGGGTCTGTGAATTCATATTTTATTAAAGGGCTAAAAAGAGAATGGGCTTTTGTTTTCTGCACAAAGTCTAGAACATGGTTAAATAAGTTTTGAAACTATTATGTGTCAATTTTTAAAAATACATCTAAGACCGTTTTTCAACCTTTTTTATCTCATGGCACATTTGAACCTATAGTTAAACTTCCATGGCACACTTAAGTTACGTTAATTAAAAAAAAAAGTTAAAAAGGGCAGTGCTTGTGGCTCAAGGAGTAGGGCACCAGCCCCATATACCGGGAGTGGTGAGTTCAAGCCCAGCCCCGCCAAACTGCAAAAAAAAAAAATAAAAAAAGTTAAAAAAGAATATGTTTACTGTGCTTTGAACTTCTTTAGAAAATAATTTTATTGGGCCAGGTGAGGTGGCTTACTCTTGTAATCCTAGCACTTTGGGAGGCCGAGGCGGGTAGATTGCCTAAGCTCAGGAATTCGAGACCAGCCTGAACAGAAGCAAGATCCTGTTTCTAAAAATAGCCAGGCATTGTGGCAGGTGCCTGTAGTCCCAGCTACTTGGGAGGCTGAGGTAAGAGAATTGCTTACGCTCAAGAGTTTGAGGTTGCTGTGAGCCATGACGCCATGACGCCACAGTACTCTACCAAGGGAGACAAAGTGAGACTCCATCCCAAAAAAGAAGAGAAAAAAAAATTTAATTAATGATGTTTAAAAACTTTCACAGCATACCTAAGATCCTCTTAAAAATCACTGCTCAAAGAGGTGTTCTCTGGAGCCAGGTTAAATTAACATGTGAAAACCATATTGCAAAGAATTTTAGAAAGTTTTAGAATATTTGAAAGCAGTGTTTGCTGTTTTGAACTGAATATGCTTAGTGTTCATATTTGAAGGAGAGGAACTTTTCTAAAGTAAAGTTAGTAACAGTATTTTCTTTGGAATGAGACAAACTTCGTTTTAAGGAGTTACAGAATCAATAAATGTTAAGAAAGAAGTTGCTTTGCCTTTCTCGTTTAGGAAAAATTCAGTAATGGAAATGCATGGTCAAACCAAATGGTGCGTTTTAAAACACAGGTTTTCATTTTCACCCTCAGATCCTGGAAGAAAGCTTTCCATCAAATTCCCTTTTGGTTTTGTCTTTCCCTTTACTAGGCTGATTTTGTGAAAATTGCTCACCCTGAGCCAGCATTCAGAGACGCAGCAGAAGAAGCCTGTAGAAGTATTGGCACCGTCGTAGAGAAGTATGTGCTGTTCCCGCTCTGTTCCTGTGTTGGGTGACAGGGTTTCAGGGACTTGTGCTGCGGCAGTTTTGTCCCTAGTGCTTGCCCCACCCAGCAAGGTGGGAGGTGGTGTATGAGCAGAGGGAGTGCTGGTGGGCAAGCCTGGTAAATGGGGGAATCAAATTAACTCTGCCGCTTAGGGCTGGTTTGAGGATAATGACAGAGATCATGCAGTGTCAGGCACCTAGCAAACATCCAGTATCCTTATTATGTCATTATTGTTTTACTTTGAATGAGAGTTTTTTCATATCTTTGTGGCAAGTTGGAGTATGTAGATGATCTCTTGATGAAATTGCTTTTACATTGATGGCTGCAGGCCACTAGGGCAAGAAGCCAGAGTGGTATGTGCATAGTGCCCTTTTAGTCCCTGTGGAGTTAGGATTAAGGGAGTCTGGGGAGACCATAAAACCCTGTGGGAGGGCCAAGGCAGGCTGCTGGCAGGCTGCTGGCAGGCTGCTGGCACTGTGATGGAGTGAATTAATTTAAAGTGATTTTGAGGTAAATGTAAATGTTTTCAAGCCATTTATAAGAGCTCTATAATGCTTGTTAAAATAACTTCATGGTGGGCAGCACTATGTTCCAAATCACTCGGGTGCATGGCATGATGCCAGGTGGTATGGAGAGCCGGGGAGGACCTGGGCTTACCTGGCATGGAAAGGGCCAGTCAAGACTACTCCTACAACAGAAGTCATTGTAGGAGGAGGGTGGTGGGCTTTAGATGGAGTTTTCTGGAAGATGTGTGTGATCTTCTAGCTGCTGCTAGAATGTGTAAGATGTGCTGAGTGCTGAACAAAGGGCCTCTTTGGGAGAAAGAGCTTTGCCTCTAGGGGAAGACCCCAAGAAGGGAGTCAGAATGGATCCAGTCTGGTCTAATGGATGAGCACTCTTCATTTTGTGGGAAGACAGGAGGGCACTGTGGTTGGTAGTGATGTGGTGTTGGGCACTGTGATTGGTAGTGATGTGGTGTCAGGCACTGTAATTGGTTGGTAGTGATGTGGTGTTGGGCACTGTGAT